CCCATCATGTGAAACAGGTTGGTGATGAGGCATGAAAATAACATTTCAAGCTGCAATGAAATTCTGACACGTGGAACTGGGATTTGTTGACGAATTGCTGGTGGATGTATCCGCTCTATTTAGTGCCACGGACCTCATTTATAACACGCTAACGGAAATGTCACCACAACATTTACACAGTGTCCTGGCACATGTGCTTTCATGTAAACAGGTATATTAAAACTGTCTTATGACGTCTCATGGTGGAATGTTGGTGCAACAAAACAAGGAAATCTAGGCTATAAACACATGGCAGAAAAGAGCAGACAATTGTGGGGATCGAGCGGGTCGTCCACTGATCGGAGGATCAATGGTTCAATTCCCAGCTTGTCTAGCCCGTGTGCCCATGTGTCCTTGGGCAAGACTCCGCCCGACACTAGCCTAACCCTAATCTGAATGTATTTGATTCGTTGACTGCACCACCATGACACCGTTAAGGCTGTAAAACCTAATTATGACTAAATCATTACTACATTCAGACGCTTTTAAAACATTTTAAAATCAGGACATTACTCAGAAAACAGATGAACTGCTTTTTGTTTTGGGATTTGTCTTCTGAAAAGAATGAGCAGCCATTAGTGTGATTTATATCACACATCTCAGTGGCATTAGTCAACTGATGCTTCACTTTGACAAATTAGAGCCATCGTGGGCTAAGTTGTTGACACTAGCTCTTCTAATTTAACATTTATTTGCGATACAAGTCTGTGCGAGACATCCACAATGTGTTCATGGGTTCATTTATTTATGTCGTGTTTTTTTGCTTAGGTCATGTGAGGTTAGAGCCCTTCGCTGGCAACACTGTTGGGTTTTATTGCGCCACAAGCAGACCCATGGAAACCTGTTTTTTATTTATCTCTCTGGGTTGGTGGAGGAAACCCACACAAACACCAGGCACAAGTTCTCCACAGGGAGGCCGTGCAAACTCCACACACGCTTTTAAGGTCGGCTGTTGCTCGAATAACTGGTTCACAAAACAAGCTGCTTACAGTGGTTATGAAAGATCACACTGGATTGAATCACACTCATACAGAGAGGGGAGATGAGGTATAGGTTCAATACACGGTGCATATTTTCCAACACTTGCTTCTCGAAGGTTTTCACAGTGTTACACTTGGTTTTTCACATTAAATTTGGCCTCTAGCAGTTCAGTGCATATTTTAATCCATGTGCTAATCACTAACATGGAGGAGGCAGAGTTTATGACCTGTACAGCACCCAGCCACTAGGGAGATTTTTTTGGGAGATTTTGGAAGGTGATAAATAATGCACCACGTGACCAATTCTTACGTGTTGGTGTTTGAAACGTATTTTACAGATTAGTTTGACAGATCTGATAAGAATCTACTTTTTTGGGAGGAAAGTTTTTCAGTAAGTTGCATCACTTTGAGTGGTTCCTTTAATCCGATTAGCGATTTTAAGCATTTTAATTTGTGATACAAACTCACGATTAACACATATTACCTCACTGATGTTTGCGAAACACTGACAATACATTTCACATCCAACTTTTCATTTTTGCCATCATGTTATTTGTTGTTTGCTTTCTCAAGTTTCTGCATCATTATAGTTTTCCACAGTTCTCAGTTGCTTGAGGCCAAGTGGCCGGATACCATAGAAAAATCTCAATTGTAGTCTCCATTGATCAAAGCATAGCTCTCGGCCCTGGCTTGATTGAGTGCTGTGGATTTTCTGCTTAACAGGCAATTGGCAAAGTGCATAATAACTCATTTTTAGTCAGTTCATCAATAAGCTAACACTGAAATCTATAACACTTATCACGAGGGTAAGTAAAGTGTGTGTCACTGTGATTCTTCACTGAGCAGCAGCCAGACTCCTCATTTCTGTGTGTTGAGGAAACCGTCGGTCAGAGCCGGCGGCAGTCAGGACGACCTGGGATCGTTCCAAGTCTCTAAAAACAGATCCAACAGGGTCGAGACGGAGCCAACACCTCGCCCAGAGAAAATCAGGACACGTTCAGGGCTAAGCAAAACTGCACTTGATGGATTTTTGTGAATGTAAATTTATTTAAACCTATTTCAAAATATTCAAACTTACATTGATTAACATTGATTAACTATAAACATATCCTGCATGTGAATATGTGGAATCTGTAAGTGAGAGATTTTGAGGATTTCTGACTCGAAAGCTTTCTGGTTTGTGTTTGTGTAAATGTTATCAGCTTTTTGATTTATGTTTGTTAACAGAGATTAGATCAAATGTTGTCTGAACCTTCACACCAACTAAAAGTAACACTCTTTGTGTTTTGTCTGGAGAAAAGTTCAAGTTGTTGGACAGTAACAACAAACGAGAAGTCTAGACCCAGAGGTATCATCAGACAATAGTCGTAAGATTAATTTGAATGAATCTGTTGAGCTTTTCAACTCATGATGAATTGTAATTAAGTACATTTACTGAAGTGCTGCAGTTCTGTGAGATCAACACTGCAGGAAAACACCAGGTGAAGAAAAAACATGCTAGAGTCTAATTTGAACAATAACTCAGACCTTGAAAAGTTAATGTCACAAATAACGTTTTGTAGGAAACTCAATTCAACAATATCACCTCTGTGGTTTTTTCTGTTTTAAAAGAGACGTCTAATGTTTTTTCAGTATTTCATTCCTCTGGTGTGTTATACAGGTTTTTCATGAATGTTTAAGTTCTGCAAAGTTAATAAATCTGTGGTAACGAGTGTTCGTCTCCTCCACAGAAAACACTGCAGCTCCTGACACTCCTCGTTAGTTGTCTGGCCGATAATTCTGCCTCAGAAAACAAAAGCATGTTTTCTATAAATATTTTACTGATATATTCAGTGACCTGGTGAATCTGTAAATTTACAGCATCATTACATGAATAGGAAACATAATCTGGCCATAAATTATATATCTGTTGAACACAAAACATAATTTCCAGGAGACAAAGCTGAATAAACACAATCATGTTTGTGAAAATTGAGAGATGTCAAAAAATGGTCTGGGGATCGGATTCAAGTGCGACTGTCGCCCCACAGTGTGCTAAAAATAGACTCCTCCTTTGTTTGGATGACAGTCTGATCTAGCATCGAGGGCTGGTGAAATAAAAATGAGACAATGCTGCCTCATGCAGATGCTTAATTTCACTTTCAGGGACTTTAACCTGTGCATGTGATGGTTATCCAACCAGTGCCCTCAAAAGCAGAGGGGGCCCCCCCAGTGCAAAACAACAGATACTATGGCAGCAATATATTTCAAAGACAGAACAATTTATGGGACCATCACTATTAATCATCGCTGTGGAAAGGGAGATTGCCTAACTCATCCGGAGCCCCCATAGAAATGTAATTCTGCCATCACCTCGAGTGCTCATGGGGGTGAGCTGCAGATGCATTTTGCCCACGCTCGGGCTCGGCCCTGCTCTGGCACGGCAATAAGCTGTGGTGATTTAATATCCGTTTGCCGCATGCATTTTCTCGGACGTGTAATCAGTCCACAAGGTTCTGCGGGAGGCCGTCATGAATCTGTAGGCTGCCCCCCCCCCCCGACACCTCCCTCCAAACCCCGGCTCGCCAGCAGGACACGGCGGATCCTGCCGCCACTCCTG